AATACTGTACATTGTTCCATTGTTCTATGTGGAGGGAAAAACTGGTTTTAAAGCTCTGTTGGACTATGAACTAAATAACAGAAGAAAGCACTTCCTCTGAAGAGTATATGAGGTTGAAATAAAGAAGATGGAAAAGCAAAGAACAATAGAAGTCCAGTTCTGTTAGATCTATGGTTTGGAAAACAATGCTTGCTTCGTAAGAATCTAGAACTAGTGCCCTGTTTCCTGAATATATCTGATGTGTATGTCACATTACTGCAAGATTTATGCTCCACCTCCCTCACCCCTGGTTGCTAAAAGGTATTTAAAGCTAAAAGAAGCAGAATAAATGAAAACTACTTATTTTTCATTGCAATTACCAGGTTTCTTCTAAGTATAAATTATCCATACTTACAGTGCATATGATATAAAGTAAGGAAATATGAGTGGCATGAAGTTTCAGTCCAGCTTTGTCTTAGCTGTTAACCCCTGCTGAGAAACAGAGAATAGCTACCACCTTCTTTTGCATGCAAATTACAGATTGTGTGGATTAGTTATGTGCCAGCTAATGAGGTGCTATTGTTACTCAGTGTACCCTGTGTAATTACTGCTTTTTAGACCTGCAGTGTGCTTGGTAGCCCTCCCAGAGCTGCTCTGTTTCTTTTGTTATTTACAGCATTGTCTGTGTTATTTGCTATTGCAAATCAAATGGAAATTTCTCTAATGGGTCTGTCATTTTGTCTTGTGTCTGTAGAGCACAGAGCACAGCGGGACCTTGGCCTACGGCTGAGCCTGCTAGTGCTACAGCAATATGAATAAATCATAATCATACTTGCCTACTGCACTCTTTGAGAGCAGAGCTCAGCAATGGCTGCTGCTTCTCTGCTGTTTGTGCTGCCTGTTTCCTATGGCATTATATCCTTCATCTCCTATGGCATTATATCCTTCATCACCCAGGGCCACTCTTGAGCTGCCCAGTTGGTATCATCTGTTATTACCAAAGTAACTATGCTAGTCTTCCTATGCTTAACCTCCTGTTAAACTGCATGTTTGATATTGCGGTTTCCTCTTCTGTAATTATCATCACTATTGTAAACTTGGTAGCCAGTGCTTTTATGGCATCCTTGCAAAGACCTTCTGATAAATTAGTCATCCATGTTTACATCTCCTGAACTTGTCTCCTTCCTGTTCCATCTGCAACAGAAATAGTCTTCTTTCTATTAAAGCAGTAAACTGTTTGCCTCTGTGAGGAATATCCAGGAATATCCCCCCTGCTTGTTTGTTACAGGACCTAACTGAATTCTTGAAATAAGTGTTAAATAAGGCGTTACTGTTGAAATCCATATATTTTTTATTTCCTGGTAAGGCACAGTCTTATTGTGCTCATTTGGCGAGTTCAATTTTATGCCATGGTAAGGAGCAAGTTGTTTAAAAATGTATCCAACATAGAGATTTTCCCAAGCCAAGTGATATGCTAACCTTATTCTCTTTTCAGGTGGTATCAGAAAAGGCATCTTATCATTTTGGAAGGTTGTATCTTTGCCACTGGGTTAGCAGAGCCTGGACTAACATTTCCCAGCTGGCTGTTACTATGAACAAGCAAGATTACAATCAGCAGTTTTGCATCTGAAGCCTCTTTGATTTGAATTGTAGCATTACAAAGTTTCATCCCATACGCCTACTGACCCCCATCCTGTCAAGGGAGGGATGAATTTAAAAGCTCTAGGCAATCGTCTGGAGATGTGGTGTAAAATCTATTTGTCACCCAGATTGAAAGTAGTATATACCTTGCACAGTGCGCATGTGCTCCCCAGCCATTCTTGAAGCACCGGCTATCAGCCATTTCCTGTGTGCCTCCCACTTAGACGTTTCAATTTCATTTGGTACAGATGCTGCTACAGTAATCCACACTTTTGGTATTTTGTTTTCAGACATCTGCAGTGCAGTCTATCTGGGATTATTTAATGGTCTTTCTCAAAGATGAAAGCAGGTTCAAAAAAACACAACAAAACCAGCTGTCATTCCTGGTGGGGAATTTCATCTTGAGCTGATTGTGCTCTGTGAGCTGCACATGGCATCTGAAGGTTTGTAGGTTTATGAAACACAGCTTGAGTGACATACCTGTAAGGGACTGGGAGACCAGGCGTGTCTGCTTCAGATGGTCATTCAGGTGATTATTTCTGCTGCAGACTTGTACATGAGCTAAAAGAACTTTAGAAAATCTTTTCCCTAGACAACCTTTGCAGAAAGGAGCAATCATTATTTTCTTCCCTCAAAATCTGGACACAAGAAATAAGAATCACAGAATAGTTTGGGTTAGAAGGGACCTTCAAATATCATCTAATTGAACCCCCGTGCAATGGCCAGGGTCATCTTCATCTAGATCAGGTGGTGCAGAACCACTGATAGTTTCAGAGAGCAGGTGTTATTAGTATTAATTATTGCTAGACTTCCTGGGGCTTTTTGTTGTGTGGTGAAAGTTTCTGGATTATTTTCGTTGTTGTTTAAATTGTGTGGTCATTTGACTCTTTTGTTCTTTGCTCTTTTTTTGTTGTTTTAGATACAGATGTACAGACATAACTGGTCCTTTGATCTGCTTATATGTTTATGGGGAGGAAAGAGCTGCTGTTGGTTTAAATATTGTAGTGGTACTTGATGATGAGGAACAGCTGGGTTCAGCTGGGCTGCATGGAAAGTGTCTGGGAATGTGAGCATCAAGGAAGACCATTTTCTATAGAAAACTCTTACAGCTTTCTCCCTAGACCCAAGCAACAGAGAAATCCTAAGGCATGTTTTCTGTTCTTTTTCACACCTGGTCATCCCATGGGTCTTCTATGTGTTTGTCTGCTGCTACATGCTCAGATTTTGAGCTTCCACAAGTAGCACCTATTTGACCAGAATGAGAATTCAGCATTAATTTTTTCTTTTAAAGTAATAACTGTAAAGTAGACTGCATGGTAATGATTTGTAAACTGCTTATACTTTCTAAATTAACAGTGATAATGAATTCAGGCTAGAATCTAAAGAAAATTATGTAGAGCAGAGAAAATTCCTGTCTTTCTGGATGTCCCTGTGGTACGCAGACTCAGAACGAATAAGCTGACAAATAAAAAGCAATATCCAGGAAAAGAGGAGAAACATCTTTTTTTCCTCAGCAGTAAGACCCGCACCAAAATATAACATATCTATTCTTGGGTATTAGAAGTCTGCTGGGCAAAATGTTCATCAAGAACTCAATATCTAAACTTGTCTCTGAACTCAGCTTCCAGCTTTTCTGACTCCTGAAGCCATGGAATGAATACAAACCAGCAGATAATCTTCTCATATCTCTGTGAAGCTATTTTTATCTTTGCAAATATTCTTCATATTGGTGGTTCACCCCAGGCAGCCTGAAGAATGAGAGGTACTACTGACTGTACAGAAATGTGCTAATACTTCATTCTCTTTGTGGTCCAGAACACAGCATGGCAGAGTGGATTTATACCAGGTCACCATCATGCACCTCTGTGCAGTGCTACTCTGTTTATTGCACACGTGTCCATTTTCTTTGTCAGTATACATTCACTCTTTTGGTAGTCTTTGGTTCTCACTTCCATACCCACTTCACTGCATGTTGGCTGCAGTCAGTAGGGATGAGTGGGTTGCAGGTCCTGAAGAAGAGAACACAAGGGGTGAGATGCAAGGAACAAATGTGTTGGCTGGAGGTGCTGGGAGCGAGCAGAAGCACCCTGAAGCTCCATACTGTGATTGGAGCAGGGGGAGGGTTCACGGGGGAGATGAGGACTGCGAGTTGTGAACTTGAAGTTGTATTCCCTTTGCCTTTCTTGTGTCCCCAGGATGCGGTGATCTGCAGAAAGAAAAGGCCTCTAAAAGTGCATGGCTTTTAGAGTTGGTATGTTTTAATCAGTGCTGGGCAGCATGGGGGATCTCTCCACTGCAGTCATGCTGCACCTTTCCTCTGCTGCTCAGTTTGCTTATATTACATACAATGATTACATAAACATGAGATTGCTTCACGCCTAATACTTATGCAGAATCTGTGCCGGTCTAGTATTATAATTAACTTTCTGGCATTTGTCACATTGAGGTGCTTGTGCAGTGCCTCCTGGTAGTGGTCTTTAGGGGGTCGTGAGGATGAAGGCCTGTAGTTCCTCTTCATCACCACGAGTAACCTCTTGCTTTCACACAGACTCAATAGAGTTCCAGCTCTTATCCAAACTGAAAGTTCGGTACAATCCGGTTTTATGTATCTTAAAGCAGGAACTTGTCAAGCTGGTAAATTTTATTACTCTGGGTTTTTTTTGTCCCCTTCTATGGTTACCACTTAAACAAGAATGTCTTTTAAGTGTACATTACACAAGCTATGAATCTTATCTACTACAATTCTGCCTAGCAATTCTAGCAACTTTAACTCCTACAATTCTGTTTAGCAATTCTAACTCAGCAGGGGCTTCCTGGCTCCAGCTCAGGTCAACTAACTGGCCTGTGGCTGCTGCTTCACGCCTCCAAAGCCTCTCCCAGGCCTTGCCCAAGGCTCCCAGTTTCCAAAGCAATTCCCGCCCGTGTGAAGTTCTTAAAATGATTTGAGAATTCCCAAATTCGGCTCCTTGCAGCTGTGCACACTGCAAGGGCGGGTGTCTGTGCGTTAACCAGTCTGTGACACACAGTGACAGTTCTCAGTATAACCCCTCGGTGTTGCTGCGGGAGGCGTGTGGCAGGTGCGGCCGTTGGTTTTACCCTTAGCACCCGGGTCTGCGTTAAGCCAAGCGGGAGGATCTCCTTTCCCGATGAGGTTTTAATGGGCCGCGGTACGCTCTTCACCGGCGCATTAACGGCACCAGTTAAACGTGGGGATCGAGGGTGTGTGTTAACGCCCCTCGGCGACAGCACAATGGACAGCGCCCGCCTGGCCCCGCCCCAGCGCGCCCGGCGCGACCGCGAGGCGCTGAGGGGCGGGTGCGCGGCGCTGAGGGGCGGGTGCGCGGCGCTCTCCGCCCGCCCTCGCGCTGAGGTAACGGTCTGTCCGTAACGGCGGAGAGAGGAGGTAGACGGGCGGGAGCCGCCTCCTTCTCTCCGCCCCTCCGCCACCGCCCGGCCTCACGGGTGCAGCCCGGCTGCGGGGCGAGGGAACCGCGCTGCTCCTCGGCCGGCAGCCCCCCCTCCTCACCCTCGGGGCGCTATGAGCCATGAAGCCGCCCGGCAGCATCTCCCTGCGGCAGCCGCGCTGCGGCCGCCGCCTCCCCGCCGCCGCCGCCTGCCGCCCCACGCTCCTGCGGCTCCTCGGCCGCCTCGTCTCGCTGCTCCTGCTCCTCCATGGCTCGTCCTGCCCGCGGGCCCGCGCGGCTACAGCGGCCGCCGGTGGGTATGACGGGGGGTGTGCGTGCGTGAGGCGGCTGCTGCTCCTCGGCACCCGGCCTCCCTGCCTCCGCCGCGGGAGATAAACCCCGGTAGCATCCATTTCCCCTGAACGGTTTTTCCTCCGCCCCTTCCATATCTGTGTACGTGTCTGTTTCGTCTTGCTTGCCAACGAAAAGGAGAGAAATGTGAGGTTTTTCCCCTCTCATCTTCTAAAGCGAATGCTGTAGTGTTTTAGGTAGAGTGCTGTGCGCAGAAATAACGCCGGTGAGGTATGCGGCAAAAAAAGGCTTAGGTGGTTTTTTTTCTATGTATTAGGATGTATATGTACGAGGATCTGAATGGGAAACCAATTTGGGGTTGGATTTTTGCGTGTGCTTTTTGTTTATTTGCTTTTGATTATGTATAGATAATGTGTGTAATGCTGAATATAGTCGGTTTGTGCCTCATGTTATTACTGTTCTTGTTACTTTGCTTGTTGATTGACTGTATCCTGAAATTTTAATGAGGAAGGATGCAGGGTTTAATCTGAAAAGCTGCCGCTGAAGAAAAGGGCTTTTGTAAAAGTTAAAAGGGAGAGGTGGAAAACTTGCTATTATGTAAAGGGACTTGATTACCCATTCGGTGTGCATGGACTCTGAATTCAGCTTGTTTTAGGGACATGGGAAATTAGTCTTTTGTAGGTGTACGCCTGGTTTTTGTGTGTATGTCTGAGAGATAAGTGAACTTGGCTATCAAAGAGGGTAACTACATGTCCATTAAGTGTTGGGTTTTCGTTTTTTTTTTTTTTGGAGGTTGAGAGGCATTAAACTATTTATAACCTATGAATGCATATGAAAATGTATGTGCATTTAAATAAATAATGTTATTTCTGAATCCATTTTGCATGTGAAGAAATGAATAAAATCTAGTTCAATGACTAAGCTTTTTGTTTGCTTGAGTGACTAATAAAATATTAGAATATTGCAAGCTAAATATGTAGCTTTTTTTTTTTTTTAAATAAACATATTTTGCCATCTAATATATGGCTGGCATATCTTTCTTCCTCAGACCTGCATTGGAATGAAACAGCAGGCGGTACAGGGGGAGTACTGGCAGATGAAGAGAATACATTTCAACAGAATAAAAGCAGTAACAGTAAAAATAACAGCTACAGCAATGCAATCCAGAAAGAAATCACACTGCCTTCAAGACTAATCTATTATATCAACAGAGACTCTGAAACCCCTTACCATGTCCTGGATACTAGGGCAAGGCACCAGCAGAAGCATGACAAGGTAGGGTAAAAAAAAGGCGTATCTGCAGAATTTTCAAATTGTTAGTATCTGATGTGGAACTGAGTTTGAATGTTTTATTCCATAGATCTTTGAGACTTGCTGGTGGTCCTTACTGCCATTTGTAGAAAATCAAGGAGGACATGTAATTAAACAAGACTCTAATTTCCCTTGTGTTAATTTAATTATTTTGAATTTCAGCATGGTTCAAAAACTCAACTGTAGGTAAAACGAATGGGAGTTATGTAAAGTTACTTGTCTGATCGGTGTAGTTCCAGTGTCTTGATTTATGGTATGCCATCATCAACAACATGCTTCTTCCAAAGTAGCTCTAGACTGCAGAAATGTCTGCATAGGGAGTTTCTTTAGAATCCTGAACTTGCAGCATGTATGTGTCTGTCATGCAGTACCTAATAAATGCAGTACTGGTTTCCTGCCAGTCTATGACCAGTGAAGATCACTGTAAAGTATTATGAGATTTTGTCAAATAATACTTGCCTTTTTCATTTTCAATGGCAAGATACAGTATTTCATTTTGTATAGATGCAGATAGTAATTTTTTTTTTTCTGAAATTGCATGGGATTGAGCAAACTTGAATGTTGTGAAAAAACTTGGTGAAGAAGTAAACCTACTGTAAATCCTATTGCTTAGGAGGCATCCTTTAAAATGAGTCTGTCCCATTTTTATTTAAAAAACAAATTTCTTCCCATGAGTTAAAAAGGTGAAGTGAAGGTAAATATAGTATGTATAGGAAGAGATTGCCACAATATAGAAGAAAGGCAGTAAAGCAGATCAGTGTGTATGCTATTACACTTGGGCTTGGCTGTAATAGAGTTTCTACCTATTGAATTGCATTTCTTTGGAAATTTTAGAAAGGGAATTTATTATGCGCTATATGTGCTTTTGTTGATATTGATTGTGTGCCATTTCAGCTATGGAATTAATATGGAAGTATTACCTTTGTTGTAATATACTTTGAAAGTATAACCCTTTGTCGTGGGTTAAACCCTTGAAAAAAAAGATGAGTTGTATATGAGTTTTGATATTTTAATGGTAAGAAAGGTTGCTTTCTAGCTTATTGAACTTGGATAACAATATGTGCCTTTGGAGGCATCCAAATACACTGATATGTTATGGCTGGCGCAGAAAAGCTGTTCAGATGTTGGAAATTGGAGCTACTTATCAACATATTACATTCAGAACTCATATTCTTTTAAAGTGAGACCTCTTTTTTTAAATGAACTTGAACAACAGGAACTTTCTGTTCCCCTCTTTGGAGAGAGGTGTGGGGAAAAAAAGAGATTTTGCAAGTACTTGCACACCTGCCTTTGGGAATAGTGCTTCCTTCATGTTTCTACATGAGTTTTTTTTCCTTGGGAATTAACAGAGGAGAATGCCTGCCAATCTCTTCACTTACCCAGCATTGCCCACAAAAACATTGCTGCTGTTACCTATCCTTCCTATGCCCTACGTGATCTCTGCCTGTTGGGGATAAAGCTCTGCAGAAATCAGTGCTGACAGAATTGGTATTGATTTCCTTGAGTATTCTTGCTGCTGAGTATTGTGTAAAGTGGATCTCCTTTCTACTCATTGTGTCCTGCTCACACTGCAGTTTTTCTCACAGAAGGGTGCCTTAAGCTTAGGGTTCCATGGAAAGTGACATCATGTTGACTTCATCCTTCTGGCATGGAACTTCTATTGCTTTGATCCACTTAATTGAAGGAAAGTGTTGATTCCTTTTCTGCTTTGATTTTTGCATGTTTTGCTTTCAGAGCACCCCAGAGTCCTGTGTTCCCCCCACACTCCCATCCCCAGCTTGCCTCTTGCGTCTTTCCTTGCATGAAGTCATTTATTTGCCCTTCCATCTGTTTTATAAATAATGTGGTAGGTAGCAAATATTTGGTTATTTTGTTCTGTTTAACATTAAGCAAATATTTGGTTATTTTGTTCTGTTTAACATTACCTAGTCTCTGTAGAGCAATAATTGCTGGGGGGGAGGGGAGAATTCTGCCTAGAATGTAGAAGGGTTTTGATTTTGGGAAGGGAGAGGATTTTTAGTACTTGCTTTTATCCTTTCCCAGAACTTAAATAAATGCTATATTGTAATAAATAATACTTGCATGATTTTGCTCTCCCCACATTGGTAACTTTTTAACCTAACTTTTATAATTAGGTAAAAAAACACCTATAGTTAGGTTAAAAAAAAATAATCTATATTTAGGATTGAGTTTTAGCATGTGAAAAAAAATAAGCATGAGTACCTTATATCTGTACACAAGAAACAACTGAGGAAGAAAAATACTTCTTTTTTCTATTATTTTATTTTTTTTTTACTGGTCTTGGAACCATGCATCCTTTAACCTGTGTTTTCTTGTCAGCCTTAATTATACCATTTATAGACATATGATGTAGATGTACTCCCGAACTGTGAATATTATTCAGTAAACCCCTTTCTGTGGAACTTCATTATAGTGGCCAGAAGAATGTAATTCATACAGATTGTTTGGTGAATTAGGCCTGAATACCTCAGAAATGCTGAGTCACTATAAGGAGAGGGGAAGAGTAGAGAAAATTGTGTGCATGTAGGAAGAAAGAGGTAAACCTAGAGAAATACAGTAATGTGAAATGACTTAAAATATTTGGTTTGTTTTTTTTTAAATCCCTTCCTAAAAGTAGGGGTCTGCAGCTTTATTAATGAAATATATGTAGAAATGAAGGGATGGAGGAGAAAACAGTGTACCAGAGAACAAAAAAAATAAGTAATAAATAGGTTTCTTAGCACTGATCATCCTTATCCCCTTTGGATGTGATAAAATGCCATCATAATGAGAGGGTGTATGTGATTTAAACTCTCCATAGAACTTCTCTCATTCCTTTATTATTATTTCAAGAAGCTTTTTCTCACTGTTGGAAAACTAAAGGTGTGCTAGTTTTGGCTAAATGGTCTATCTCCAAGGTGGACAGAGTTCTAGTTTGCAATCTGTTTTCTTTTTATGATCTAAAACCAAGCATAATTCAAATACTTGGTAGTTGAAGACTCAAAAAATCTGTGTACCTGTTTCCTCATAGTCGAATTAAGGTTAGCTGGTTTTGAATTCTTAGGTTATTTTTGGTGTGAAATGCTCAAAAGTGAACATCTGTTTATAAAAACAGTGATGAAACTGATACGAACTTTTAAACATGCTGGAGAGGTCTGAGTCATAATGTGCTCTGTCTTTCTAAACTTCTGCAGATGGAAGCAGAGTTCTGAATGAACTGCGAATCTCTTTACTGAACCATATGACTGCTGTGGTTCATTTTTGTAGGCTAGGTATACCTGATCATTAGGAGGTAGCAGAAGGACTGCTATGTGACACAACCTGTCACAAAAGGCTAGGACCAAGTCGTTACCATAGCCAGCAAAGAAAAAAATCTTGCAACACAAGATATGGTCTCAAAATAAAAGGATTGCCAGAGAAACACAGCTGTCTTTAGATTGCTGAATCATAAGTTCCCAGAAGTTGTAAACAAACGAAGTGTGTTGTTCTAAGCTGTTAGTGTCATTTTTGGGAGGAGGGAGGTGTTAAAAAAAATTGGTTTGCAGACCCTAGTGGCTGGAAAAAAAATAGTGCAATAGTGAAGACAGTTCCACCCCCCCCGCCCCCCCCCCCCCCCCCCCCAAAAAAAAAGCAAACCAAAACCAACCCTGTATTCATTTTGGGCTATTTTCTTCTGGTAAAAACTCCAGGTGTTTTGGAGTGCAGATGCTTCCAGGTGCTCCTCTGTTTGTCATTTCAGTAATGAAAATATGGCCAGGCTGAACATTGTTTTCTGTTATGTTGCCCTGCTTTAGAGGTTGAAATGCAGGGCTGTTTCAGTCCTTTATGCAACTTTGGTATGGAGCATACAAAAGTTGAGAGGGGAAGCATCTTTAAGATGAAAGGAAAATAGCTGTATCATGGCCATTACAAAGGAGATGGTATTGAAGAAAAAGGAGGCCTGTTTTGTACAATATGAGAGGTGATGGTTAATAATCTCTCAAGAGGTGGCATCATGTGAATTCTTACTAAAATTCAGATAAAAATCCTATGCCCTAATTATTGTTTTCCCTTCCCTTGCCTGTCTTCGGCCAGATCTTCACTTTTAATCCCCATGTAATAAAAACTGATCAAAATGATGAATGAACTTCATGTGGTTTATCTATATGAGTTTAAGACTGTTGGAGACCCATTGTAGTATTTCAACTGGCTTTACTTTTTTGTTTGCCCTTTTTTTTTTTTCTTTCCTCTGAAATTTCTGTGATGCAGATCAATTTACACTACTTGCAAGTTAATATTTTTGTGTACTTTGTCTCTTTTTCTATCCTGTATTAAATTCCTACTCTTTCTCTAGTCTGTATTGAATTCCTGTTAATGCAAAAGACTTATCTGGACTCTGTGTCTTCAGTAGTTACTGATTAACAGTAGGCTTGAAATTAGTCTTCCTATCTTCTTCGGTTTCCAGGAGTAGGAAGCCATTTTCCTTATGCCAATGGGAGTAGAAAGCCATCTTCCTTATGCTTTATGCCATCTATTAAGTAGATCTACATCTTGGTTTCCTAGCTGAAATGTGAGTCATGATAGTTATAATTTTTTTAAATTGTCATTTCAAGAGATAACCTATAAAATATTTCAGTTCCTCTGTGTTAGATAGTGCAGCAATTGCACTTGTTAGGCCTTGTTCTGAATTAAAAAAAAAAAACAAAAACAAAACAAAAAACCACAACAAAAAGAACCCAAAAAAAGTTTATAGGTTTTATAGCATTTTTGGGAAGTTGAGTGCTGCAAGAGTGGTGGATTCTGGCCCCTGGTGTTAAAAGAGCAACAGTAGGATTGCTTTCAGAGGTAGGCCTGAGCCTTTGCATGCTGACAGCCTTTCCTTCAGAGAACAGTCTTCAAGGCTTGAGGTTCAAGTGCATCAAAGTAACCTTTCTATTATTAAAGACCAGAAACAAATAATCAGTGGAAGCTTTTCTGAAATCCTG